CCCCCCCCAAGCCCCATAAGGTCACATCAGGCTGAAAACCAGCTCTCACAGATCTGCAGATTTGTCCTGCATGATCGCTTCCCTAATCACAGCCCAGCCCACTGTGTGCTCAGAGGTAAGGCTTCATTTGCAGGCTAGCTCCTCTTCTTGATCTATCTTCCCAGTCAGTCTGAGTCCAGGTGAATGAACACCACTCATAAACAAGCCACCCCTGCCCTCCTCCCTCCAGGACAGGTTGAAACACGGGCTGAGACCATGCAGCAGCCAAGCCCCGGGACCAAGCCAGCTTTTAGTTTTTGTGACATGCAGAGAACACTGTCTTGATCCTCAGGAATCTTTGGAACCGAAGAATACCAGAAATATTGCACGATAGCTGGCAGACTGGCTATCAGAACATTCACACAGAGCAAGGTGGTGTTTAAGGGAAGCCTTGCTGCAGAGCTCAAGCTGTCTGAAACCTCAGCAAGGAACTCCCCTGAAGGTCAGGCTTACACATTCACAGTCTGGTTACACACAAAAAAATATACACATGCAGCTCTGGAACCAAAACAGATTTGAGAAGCCTCCCAAGGCAGCCTTCACCTTTCCCAGATACCAAAACCTCACATTCTCCCCCAAGACTGCTTTCATAATATAGTTTAACGCAGCTGCACAGGTTGCTTGGCAATAGAGGTCAAAAATAATTAGCTGCAGGGAAACTATTGTTCTGAATGACTGAATTATCAAGAGCCAGCCAAATCTATTGCTTCTTCATTATGCCACTCACAGGATAAACAATGTAAGCTGCTTACAGCCAGAGCTTAGCCTCCACAAGCCTAGGAGGAAAGTATGAAGAACCTCATTCTGATAAAACAGATCTGTACACCACAAAAACACCCGGAAGGTACAAACTAGAATGTTTTTAATTGTGCTGTGCAGCCTCTCTTAAGGCCACGAACCTCAGACACGCACTGACCTGGAGATACCATCCAAAACATTGCTCTTCGGAGAGATCATCCTACCTGTGAGCAGCATCAGGATCTGCTTTGCGATGGGACCGCTTTGGTTTCAGGATCTGGTCCCGGTTGCTTCCTGACAGACGGTCAGAGTTATAACCTGGTGGCAACACAGAGCTACTCAGGGATTTTGTTTCCAATCGAGGTGCATCTAGTCTTGTTCTGCAAATATTTAAAGAAAAGAGAATTTGCAAGGAGTTTCTACAGAACCGCCAGTGTGCTGCAGTGGACATCTGCCCTAGATGTGCTGAAGCAGAACCCTCAATCCTAGCCACACAGCTCAGGAAGAGGGTCAGGATTATTACGCTCGACAGCAGAAAGAGCCGCAGCTTTCTGGTACTTGCAGCTTCAGCTTTAACCTTTGCTGCTTTGGTTAGAGGAAGGCTCAGGGACACAAGTAGTCATGAGGTGAATGCAGATGGTGTTGGGCTCACTGCAATCCCAGTTACGGGATACAGACTAGAGGCACTGGAGCCCCTGTGAAATCCCAGTGACTCATCAAGAACTCGCAGCTCCAGTGAAGCCTCCTGGGAGATGCCCTGCAAAATTCATCATCACCTACAACAGTAATAATTGCTCCTATCTGGAAACTCCCTACTGTCTCAAGATCTCATGGGGTCAGGCGTTTCTCAGCTTGACTAAGAGGTTTAAAGAGTTGAAGTACAAGTCAGGAGGTCTAGCAAACAGAAGCTGCACCACATCCCTTCCAGCAGTGCAGCACTGCCTTGTTCATGCTGGGAGAGAAACATGCTCAAGCTACACCAGAAAGCAAGCACAGCTCGTCCCAGAGCAGATCTGTTGCTGGCCCAGGCATGACTGTATCCATGCACACGTAGAGGAAGGCAGCAGGAATGAAAACCCAACAATGCAGTGTCTTATCACAGCGCTATCATCGCCATCTCTAAGTGCGGCATTTATTAGCCTCAACTTACAAGCACTACGCAAGTCTATTTCAAAACACAGACTGAAGCCTAAGAATGGGCAAAACACACTAAAAGGTGGTGCTGGTACTCCAGAGCTGCCACTTCCCAGAAGGAAAGGCACCATGATACTGTTGCTGCAGCCTGTCTCCCTTCTTGGAATTAGGGGTGAATACAGAAAGGGTCCAGGTGAAAGAATGGGAGAATCACTACTTGCTCTCTAGTGCTGAACTTTAGCTCCCGAGGGAGGTTTCCACAGGAGAATCCTAACGTAAACTCCCATTAGGAAGCAAGCCCTGCTGCCAAGCTTCCTCTCCACCATCAGGGAGAGCCTCTTCAGTTCACCAGGGCAATGCCAGGCTGGCACAGGCAAAGCTGGGCACGGCAGCCCAAGCCCGCCCAGCATGCCAGAAACAAGGAACACTTCCGCAGGCAGCTGCCAGGCTGGAGCCAGCGCTAGTCCACAGCGCCAGCGTCCTGAGCTCTTCCCAGCTCCAGGACTGGACTCAGTCCAGCTTGAACACCAACGGCATTGCGGATCCTGCCGTGGACAAGTTAGGTGGTTTAAATACCTCTAAATACAACAGCAACTCCAGGCCTGCAATTAAAACAAGCAAACCACCAAATATACTGCAAGGGCAAGGGAACACGAGACAGGCTCTGTCCACAGAGCAACACAGGTATGAGCTGCAGGAGCAGCTATTAGGAGAGGCTATACTAAAACACAGAGCAAATTACCTACCAAAGTTCAAGCTAAACAGAAAACTCCCTGATGTTAACTGTTTACAAAGCAGTACTTCAAAACAGCAGCATAAGCCCTCTAAAATTACTTTCAGGACCCACTTCAGTAGGTCTAATTTCTATCCCCTACTTCTTCCAGCATCTCATGAAATTGGGAGCATCATTCTTTCCCCCACAGCCTCTTGCTCAAAGCTCTTCCAAACCTTGCTGGCTCCCCGCAGTCCTGCACTCTGATACGCAGGAAACACTGTAAATATCGTCACACTACAGCACTGAGGTGTTTATGACCTACTTGGTAACAATGCTGCTCTCAAGCATCCTGCAAAACTCAGCCACTTCTCCCGCTCGCGCAGCTTTGTTCTGCCACTGCCAGAAAAAAAACATCTCTAGAACCACGTGCTCAGAGTAGAGGCAAGAGCAGATCCAGAGGCAAACGTCTGGGGCCCAGTAGGCTCTGGCAGCCTATTCAGAGCCAAATATCCCAGCTTCATGCTGCAGCAGAGTTTATGCTGCTGTATGATCTGATCCTGTTGGAAAGCTCGAGGCTGATTCTTACCACGAAGATGAGGAAGAGGAGTTTTACAAGGCCGCTGTTTGCTCCCAAGCCTCTTGTGCTAGCATGCCACCAGCAGAAGTAGCTGTTTTCCTGGTTGCGTAACACACTATTTCAGACTGCATGAAGTCGCATGATCTGGGACTAGGGAATGGCATTTGCTGCAGCAATACATGCCACGGGGATGCGAACGCAGACAAAGGTCACCGCAGCCCTGCTGTGCATGCGTGCGTGCACAGGGGACTCGGCGAGGAGACAGCCGTCGTCACAAGGGATAAGCAGCAATTAATAAGCTCTATTTGGCAGCAACCAGAGCGCACCCTTTGGCAAACAGGCAATTGCCATGTATTCACCAGGGCTGCTAAGCTCTACCGAGATTACACAAAAATAATTACCAGGGGGTTTCCACTTTGCTCAATAGAAAAAAAGTCCTGTTGTGGTTTCACTCAGCCTTGCCGGTCAAAGCAGCCCATCACTGTCTGCATAAGACTGGGCAGAGACACTTCTGCTCTAAGCAGATCAGGCTCCTAAATCAGGGCAAGACAGAAGGACACACTGCTACCGAAGGACAGCTAAGCAAACAGACCCTGTTCAGCTCTGCGAGAAGCTAACGGGCCTTGTTGGTTTAGCAAGGAGGCAACAGGCCAGCGGGTATGTCTCAGCCAGCTAGGTGCTCGCCCGGTTGCACTTCGAGGACAGTGACGCTAGACTGAAATAACTCAAAACCCTCAGCTCACAGAGGCTGGCAAAGGCAAGAGGCAGAGCCAGTTTAAACCAGTATGTCAGATATCTGTGGCAGTTTGGGCAGCTTTAGTTTATTTAGCAGTCTTTTCTTTTCCAGAGAACTGCTCCACAGCCTAGGACAGGCAGCTTGTCTATCCCAAAGCCCAATTAAAGCAGCTACAGGATTTGGAGGTGCCTTCCACCGGTGCTCATCAGCACTCACGCCGCTCTGCGTTGGCTGCAGTAACCAGCAAGGCAAACGTAACAGCCTTTGAGTTCTTATTGCAACCCTCTCGCCTTAAACATCAAGTGGTGATAACCAGCTATTGGGTGGTTTGGTGATGATCTGTCTTTCTTTCATCCCACTCTATCACCTGCCACATCTCATCCCGCCTCCCTGGGTCCGTGCTGATTTCGCCTGGCTAACGCCTCAGGGCTGCTGTTTTTCCTGCCTTCATTTCATGGGTCCCTCTAACCAGATGTCCAACTCCACTCCACTGGCTTGGTGCCATATCTTCACTACATTGCCAGACTTGTTTTGAAACCAGCTAAGCCATCCAAAAGCTCAGTAAATCTGAATCTAGACCACTTGCCTGCTAGCCTTATGCCAGCCTGGGACACGGCCTTATGCCACTGCAGCCCTGCCACCAAGGCCCACACTTTTGGCTCGGTTTACAGGAGTCAAGTCACATGTTTTCACTTGCAAAAAGATTTCTTGACAGCAGAATTACTGTTAACACCTTCTAGGGCACAATCAACACGGGCCAACTTGTGGCAGTCACATTTTTTGGTTTCCTAGTAGAAAGAAACTGATAAAAGAGGGTATTTCTGGGCACAAAAAAAAGGTTTATACTGACAGAGTTTTGGGTGGGGTCGGCTTGCTTTTTCTCTATTTTCTTAAGAGCTTTAGGAACAAGCACTGGTTGATGAAATGCCATCAAGCCAGCATATCTTCTAAAACAGGACGCATGCTTCTCAACAGTTTACAGAGCTTGGCTTCTCCACGACAACTTGAAGGACAAGCTCTCCAAAGTGATCACTAAATTCACTGCACCCGTTTCCCTTCGAAGCCAACATCTTCCTCTCTCTCCAGGAAGTTAAAGCCATGCTATCAAGAAAACTTTATCTGCTTTATAGGAGTTTCTTCATCACAAGAATCAGCTTCAAAGAACCTCCAGGTAACTCACGCACGTGGGTATCATATGATCAGACACCTGAATATGCAGCCCAAAACAAGAGCTTGAAATCCTAGCTGTCTGGAGTTAGGCCACCAACAAAAGCCAGGTGTTTGGACACGAACAGCGCTTGCAAACCCAGACACAACGATGGAGTACTGCTGCACAGAGCCAGGGAGTGATTAACGCTTCAGTAACAAGTTCCACCTACTTCCTCTGACCAAGTGATAGGTACAGCAAAACACAAGTGAGCATCAGAGCGATATTTCATCAAGATGCAAGATCAAGCCAGCAAATAAATAAGCAAGGCTGTTTTAAAGTGTTTCTAAATAAGCAAGGCCATTTAAAAGTGCTTCTTTAAAAGCACCATCACAATACCACAGATAAACCAAGTTTATCTTACTGTCCAGAGGGCTTCAATACTTACTTTCGAAGGATGATGACAGCTCTTCTCTCCTTGATGTCCTGTGGTCGAATACAGTGTGTAATTTCATCGGCTGCATATCCACTGACAACAAAAAACAAAAAAGCCACTGTGAGAAAGATGACAGGCAGAAGAAGAAAGTGGTTGCCAGCCTCAACAACTCAGAATGACCAGTCATTTCCTAACTTCCACCACAAATTCCTCTTCCAAACACCATTCCCCAGGCTCACAGGAGCTAGACATGGGAAGGAAGAAATTTCAGGAAAAAATGAAGACAGTCAAGGGTTTGGGTTTTTTCTGTTGGATTCCAGTTTTCAGCATACACCAGAGGAAACCACCACCTGCCACAACATCATGAAATAAGACATGTAGAAAATGAGTTTATGGAGTGTAAATTCAGCCAATTCATTTATCAAGAGATTAGAGAGCAACATGAAAAAAACATCAGCACACTGCTCCAAAGCATCGTGTCACACACATCCCCCAGAAAACCCACCTCTCATGGCTGAGACGCGCAGTGTACCCAGACACAAATGCATAGCCAAGTCGATGAGAAGATTTGTTAGTTGAAGAGGGGGGACAGTGGTGGCAAGTGTCTCACCCCCCTCACCTGGGCACAGGCACTGCCACCTCAGCACCCTCCCCGCCACATCCTCAGCCACAGTACAAACACCACTCCCCCAGCACAGCCCAACTCTGACACAACACACATAGAGTAACTTTCAAATTCAGAGCTGCAAACCAAGCTGAGCTCCTAAAACCTCCCTGCCACAGCGTTCACAAGGCAGGACAGTTACCTGGGCTGAGGAAAACTACACCAGGCTCGAGCAGCTACGGCACCACGCAGCAGCCATTCTCGGCAGGAGAGTGTTTTGCTGTATGAGATGACTTCACCTACTCCACGTTTCTAGAAAAAGCCACGGCCAACAAGGGCCCAGCCACCCACAACACACAGGAGCATTTTTCTTTGTGGCTGCTTCTGTTGTTGGACACAATTCCTGGGGTTCAGCACAGCATGTGAGATCATGGCAGGTCTGTGGAGAGCCATCATCACACCTGCTCGGACACAAAAACCACCCTGCCAGGAGCACATCTCACTGCTCATGTGGGTGCTAATGAGCAGGTCCGAGAGGCGGGCCTACCTTCTACCTGATGTTTGGAGAGTGTCTGTTCACAAAAGAGCATTATAGAGTCCAGTATGGGGAAAAAGCGAAAACACCTTTGGAGCCTCCTGAAAGAGCTGACAAGGACAGAAATGCCTTTGGAGGGACTTGGGCGAAGGCTGCTCAAGCCACACAAAGCTAACACAGCCCCACGCTGGTTTAACCTGAAGCAGAAATCACCAAGCCCGCTCTCCCCACACCAGGCTTTACCTGGGAAGCTGCTGTCAGCCGGCCCTCCAGGAGCACAGCCAGAGTCACGGGCCTGCAGGTTATTCAGGATGCTCAGAGCCGAGAACAGACCACGCACACGCAGGTCATCTCTGGGGAAGGGACCGGGTTTCCTTTATCTGGTTAGATAACCCATCCACTCACCAAGAAACTCTCAAAGACAGATTTACTGCTTTAAGAGAGTTAAAAGTCTAAGACCTGATCAATTAAAACAGAGGTTCATCTCCATCCCCCCTGTCTTCCAGGGCACTGCAGAACAAGACAGCCTTATGTGAAGGGGCTTGTAATGATGCTCTATTATGTTCCAGGAATCTCTGCATCAAGCTTCAGCAAATTCATTAATATCACCGATGTTAACATTCAACTCAGCGACACCCTGTACATCAGGAAAAGGTCTGCTTCCAGACCTGCACTCTCCATCATGAGATGTCGGCCTGACCGCTCGTTCTCACTCCCCAGGCAGGAACCTGCTTTCTAGCTGGGTCTACCCAGAAATTTCTTGCCCAAAGAACAAACCCAAAGCACAAGGTAAGAGGTAACTTGGTAAGTAAAACCCTAAATTGCTGCCCATGAGAACACCCAAACATGATGTCTCCAGCCTAGACATTTTCCCTATGAACAAGAGGAGGTGCAGATGTTACCCACACACTCCCCCAACTAACACCCCAACTCCTAACCTGTCAGATGTTACACCCCCGACTCCTCCCCAAGTATCTTTTCCAGCCCAGAAGAGCTGTTGCCGAGCCACAACATAACTGACTCACATCAAGATGAAAGCAGATTTTTTTGTATAAACATCACCAGAAAGGAGGTCCTGAAGTTCTGCAGAGTCTCTAATGATAATAAGTATTTCTAGGGGTTGATGACAGCCAGGCCAGCTCAGAGGAAGAGGGACCTCATGCACTTGCCCATTGCAGTGTTTGAGCAGCTCGAGGCTTTACTCATGGTTCAGGAAAGCTGCTGCCACAGACCACAGATGTGACACCAACCAGCTCAAGCAGAGCTCGAACAAATCTATTTGCCTCATCACCACTGGCACATGCAGAACTTCCCCTGAATCAACCGCCTGTTTCTGAGGGATCAGACTTTTCTGGAAAAGCCTCTAATCCAGGCAGTTGTAGAGAGATTCCTCCAGCTGAGAAAAAGCAGGTTCATCCTCCAGAGACTCCAACCAGCTCCGATTATGCTACCACCAGGCATGCCTGGAGACAACAGGAGAGACAAACATCACGATGTTTCCACTGCTACTACAAACAGCAGGGAGATGACCTGGGGTGCTCACCAGCTGCAAAGGGAAGCGTGTATGGTGTGCAAGCTCTCAGAACTTGGGAAATGCTTCAGTGGGTCATTCGTACCTCTGGCTAATTGCAACCACGCTATTTCCAACCACAGTGCTGAGACACAACACTCGGCAGTTAAACAAAAAGCCAGTGCAGTGCCGAGATTTGCTATAAACAGCGACTGCAGGGCTGAGGTCTGTCTGGAACCACCTGCCCTGGCTGGCTCTGCACCCCTGCCAGTTCCCTCTCTTTTTTTTCCAGCTTAAGCCTTTGTCAGAGCATGTGTTTCCCATATGAATAGGCAAATTCCTCCATCTCCTCTCCACTGCTTCTATCGATTGATGCTTATCAAATTATTGTTAAAAAAAAAAAAAAGAAAAACCCACATACGTGGTCCAGCCTGCAGCCCCCAACAGACTGCTGATGGTCCACAGGACTGAAATGCAGCTTAACTCCAACAGCTGTGGAAAAGCACCACAGACCAAGGCGCTACTGCTTCCTTCTCTTGGCCTGGCTGGCAGCAGGACAAACCTGCAGGAGCACCCGTTTCCTGGAGCTAGGGGAGAAGTGGGGACTGGAGAAGGTCTTTTTCTAGATGTCAAAACCTACAGGGGTAAATCTTCACCGCAGATGTTAAAGGAGAGGAAAAAGTGCCTTCGCTGGAAGAGCAAAAGGCTCGTTAGTGGGTCACGGGGTGGCTTCATCTTTGTCCTGCTGGCAGAGGTACACAGCCCAGCCAGGAGAATCTCCATTCCATCTTTTAAATACCAACCTGTTGTTTGAGATCTGAGTATTTTCCTGCTAGTCTGAGGCAGGTTCAGCGTTTTCAGACACCACAGCCTGCTTCATGGTAGGCAAATAAAGTCAAGGGAGGGATGCGGGGAAAGCCTCTCTGCAGGGTGCGGGGAGTAAGTGGCTACAAAACCAGAAGGATAGTTTGGAATAGACTGCTGAGAGCAGGCACAGGACAGGCAAGAATTGGGGAGAGCTCGAGAACTACACAAGGGCAAAGAGAGAGATCCATCAGCTTTCTTTAGATCCTCACGGTAAGCAAAGGTGGCTACCCTGGTTTCCCCAGAAAGGCAGCACGCCAGCAGCAGCCACTGACCCAGCAATATTCGAATCACAGACATTGCAAGCATGCCATTTCTATCTGCGCCGTTTCCTTATCTCCAGGGCAACTGCCTTCAGCAACTCTTTACTGGGAGGCAAAAAAGCCAAGTTTAGGGAGTTGACTTAAAACATGACCAGGGGCTAGATTTTGGAAATACAGCCCTGAGAGCCTACCAGGTCTGCACGCCTCCCTGCTCCTCCCAAATTGCTGGGGTTAGAGGGGAGACTGGAGATCTTACATCCAGCCAGGATCGTATCATCACAGAACAATCACTTTAGCAGAATCTCTCTTAAGTGAGTACTAAGTATCTGCTAACTCTGTACCAAAATTGAAATACACCCCCCACCCCCCCCACCCCCCATTATTTGCTGGAAAGCAGAACATTTAATCGTGGATTAAGCCTACGGTGGGTCACAGAAAGCAACCCTTCTATTTGGAGGGGAAAAGATATCTTTGATTTGTTTGATTGCTTCAGCCACGTTAATAAACTGATTAAAGACACCCAGGTGACGATGGCCAACAACCCGAACACAGGTCTGGGAGACACCCTGCTCCAATTCCGGGAGCTCTGAGGCAGCTTCTTCTCCCCAGCAGTTATGGAGGAAGAGTAGAGATCCGGGACAAGAAAACATCATTCTCTGGTCCTGGAGCAGAGATGAGCCACTCTCCCTCCTCCCACCATCCTCCACTGCAAAGTCCTGATCCTCCTTCAGGTGTAAGGGCATGGGTTTTCCTAGTGACTCTCCCTACAAGACTTCAGAACACATTAACAGCTCTGCCAACATGCTTCTAGGCAAGAAAAAACTTTCACTGTCCTTAAAAAACAGACCCCTGGATGTGCAAAGAAGGACAACTATCTACTCCAGGCCTGCTGGGGAAAGGCAACACAGGGATTTTCAACACCAGCAGGAAAATCAGTGTAGAAAGTTTCCCTCCAGGTGCCTAAGAGAAGTCAGTGAGCGCAAGCAGCTGCCTTGCACCCTGCGGTCTCCAATCCCAGGGAGGGAGTCCCCCGAGGTCCCATTTCACAAAAATCACCCTGACCTCTGCCCCCCATCCCCCCTTCTCCCTGTCCCGGCCAATCCAGCAGAGAAGAAAATGTCCTCAGCACTGTTCCCGCTTCCCTCCGCAGCCTCCCTCACTAATCCACAGAAGTTACCTAACGCCAGGGGTACGGCGAGGATTAGTTAATGTTTGTGCAGCTTTTCCAAGATAAAAGCTACGCGAGATCTCAGCATTTATTATTGATGCACTAGTCAACGGTGCGAGGCTGTGTGTATGTAGAGGGAAAAATTCCTTCCCGAACCCTGCGGCGATCACTTTACACGCCAAAGCAGGGGATTGTGTTACGGCCTGGGAGCCCTGAAAACCGGCCTGGGCCTTCACCAGTCCAAAAAAATAAAAACCCCAAACGAGGATACAGCTGGGAGGCTCCAAGCACTGCTGGCAAAGTCCGGGTGATCCCTGCTCCTGGCAGGGAGCACTCTGACCTTCAGGGACGCAAGGGACTGTCACCGAGGCCAGCGCTGGCCTTCAAGCTGCTTTTTTCCCCCCAAGACGTGGCCCTGGTGGGTCCCTTACGGTAACACCTCGGCACACACCCTGCCTGTCCCCTCACCTGCCTGCTCTGCCCATCCAGCATGTACCGGGGAGGCAGAGGGATTAGGAAGCAGGCATTTCTCAGTGCCAATCCCAGCTTTACTACCGACTGGCTGCGTGACCTTGGGCAGGTCACTTCACCTCCACAGCTCTTC